GTTGGGGGTTATGAGAGTCCATACATGAGGTCCAACCACATGCAAAGTCACTAACACTTCACCTTTACGTTGAGAGTCTATTGCCCATTCGGTTTGGAAAATTCTGAAAACGGTCCTGTCCCCTAGACTGCGCCGAATCGCTTCCACAACAACTTTTTCACCCGCCGCTAGATGTCCATGCTGCAATACTGAGGCCTGATCCTGTCTAATATGTCATCCGTCAACCTACTCAATTCAGAAGACTTTTGACATTTTGAGGTTCAAACTATTTTCTATTTCAAACTATTTGAGGTTTCATCTATTTTATTTGTTGTAGATCTTTCATTTGAATTAGATCGATAGTGGATCAATGGATCGCCAGTTATCTACGGTGAATAGTCCATCTATGACTGTCTTGTAACTTCCGCTTGTTCATCAATTTGTCTTTATGTGGTGTTACTTCTATTAGTATCGTGCAATGACCCTGTAACCGAGTTCCATATAGCATTGGAATTTTGGGTCTGAATCTGTCCAATTTGCCATAGGGTTTGAATGGTTCATTTCATCTTCTACGGGTGAGTTTATCTTGGATTCGGTACTCGCTGGAAAAAGACTCCTTCACTTTGGGTTTCCACTGGATTTCCATGGGGGATAATTTTTCTGTCATGTCTGTGTTAGGTATGGTTGGCCCTCCCAGCTCCACATGAAACAATATAAAACAAAACGCCAGTAAGTTCTTCAGATAACAATCATTTTAGGATTACTTGAATATAATGGAATGTGAGTCAAATGACAAAATAATCAGAATAACAATTTTTGATTGGGAATTGAAAATTCATAATATCGGTGCATCATACGGCTACCGGCTAGTTAAACAAGATCATTTCAATAATAACGTAACTTCATGTAATGAGTACAAAAAAAAGATAAACATAAATACCCGTACTTGTTACATGGGTCGTGAAAATATTCGTCTATATTGATTTGTTGAAATTGAGAAATAAAATAATAAAGAAAACAGCCATGTACTGCTGATCAGTCAATTAGATGAAATATTCGACAATAAAGTATATTTTTAATTAGTTTATTGATCATTATTAATAGTATTATCTATTTATATTATTATCTTTTCTGTACCTTCCCTCCGTTCAAGAATGAATACCCGATTCCCTTTTCAGAAATTATCTCATTGGTAAACCTACTATATTGTGTTGACATAGTTTACATACATTATTACAACCTATTTTACCCATTGTATAACAGTGTGCTTGTCGAGTTTTTACAAAATGTATCCCTACATCTCCTAGTCGAGTTATATTATTCCTAGTCTCATTATTTCAAAAATATATCTTTAACTTCATTTGTATACCTATCTCTGGTATTACTTTAATCAACTATAACTCACATAACTTTTTCATTTCTATTTCATTTAATCTTCAACACATATTTCACTATCCATTTTATTTTCTCCAAACACTTATTTTCCTCTTCATGAATTCTTAATCATTTCTCCTTTTTATATTCACTCGTATTCTTATTATTTCTTTTGACTGGCCAGTCTAATAACTTACATTCAAGTGATTTTTCAAGCACAGTTGGGGCCCAGAACTTGCCGAGCTCGAAAAATTACTCAATTAATCAATTCAAATGATCGACTACTAATCATTATTCGCCTGTGGCTCATCTATAACTGACTCACTGTCATCTTCTAATCTTTTTAACATGCACCTCACACTTTGCCCTGGTTTGAGAGACATGTTTTGATCAAGTTCAATAGTACTCAACTGTAATGAAGGGTTATTCACTCTCGGTGGAGGTACTCGATTTGGATTACCATTTTCATTCTTGGACCTAGGCTGTTGACTAAACATGTGCTTTAGGCACATCCAAATCAAGATCATAAAAATAATATAAGTATGGTGCATAGGGTACCGAAAAATATATCTTGTTTCTCTGGGTTTACTGTGTCTGCCCTTACTGGATTAAAAACATTGGGGAGTATTATTAGTGCGTGATTCAAAAGTCTACAATTTAAAACTCACATTTCTATCCATGTGTAGATATATATATTTAAATGATTTAAAAAATACTTGGAACAAAAATTACTAGTAAATAGGGTATTTGCGTACATTGTTGAAGGATTTTGAATTAATTCATGACAAAAAATTACCAGAAAAATTGCGCCTCCACCACATGTCGTGGCCCAAATGGCTCGCGAGTTGGGGGTTAACTCAGATGATAGGATTGGCTAATTGCCGAATATCATAACTTTTATTTAGGTAAATGAACTTTCACTAGATCGACCCATATAGTGCGGTGCACTGAGGCTATAAATTTGGAAAATTGAATATTTTCGGAAATTATTAATTTTGACAATTTGGCTTTCGAAAATATTGTTATAAAAAGACTCGAATACAACAGTGTATGGGGATTTTCAAAACATCACGGAGGAATTCAGATACAGAAATACAGCAGTATACATGTATTGAAACCCACAGCCTTGACAGGAAACAAGTACAAAAGAGTGAAATATTGAAATATCAAGATTTGTGCAAAAAAATTCAATGAATTTGAAAAAAAGACAACCGATATAGGTTAGAAAGAAATGTCAGATGAAATCGAATTAATATATGTGAGGAAAAATTGAAAAAAGCATATTGAACTAATTGTTATTATTTAGGAATGATGTAAAACTATTTTCTTAGAAACGGACATCAAGTGATGCTTTTGAAAAATATTCATATTCATGAGAAAAGAAGAGATGAAAGCAGGAAAGAAGATATGAAAAGACTGAAAAGAGTAAGACTTGAAGATATTGAAAAATTGGAAAGAAAAAGGAATGAAGATATGAAAAACTTATTTGGAAAAATTGATGACCAGACAAATAATGTTGAGAAGTTAGAAAAATAAATTAAAATAAACCATAATAATTTGAAACAAGAATTAGCAGAATATAAAAGGACTATTGAAGAAAAGGTAGAAGATCATAGAAAAGAAAGCAAAGAACAGATAAATCAGGTTCATGGATATATTCCACAGACTGGGAAAGTCACCTGAAACACATAAAATTGTTAATTGATGAATTAGATGAATTGGGACTTGAAATTAACAATGAAAAATCAAAATTTTATCAAACAGAAGTGACTTTCCTTGGATACAAATTGGTCACAAAAGGAATAAGCATGGATGAAGGAAGAGTTAGAGCTATATTGGAGTATAATAGACCTGTAAATTTAAAAACCTTAAGGGGATTTTTGGGAATGATAAATTATTTAAAAAAATTAATGCCAGACATAAGTAACAAAACATTAAGTCTAGTTGAATTATTGAAAACAACAATAAGTGGAAATGGGGACAAGATCAAGAGAATGCATTTATTAATATCAAAGTGGAATTCGCAAACAATCTAACCATTTTTATTAAGAACTGATGCATCTATATTCAAACTTGCTGGAGTTTTATTGCAAGAAGGTAAAGAGGTACAGGTATGTTTTGTGTCGAGAGTGACCAAAAGATATAAGAAACATTACAGTAAAACAGAACTAGAATTTGCAAGAATAATCTTTTGTATAATCAAATTGAAATTTTATTCACTAGGATCTAAATTTATCATTAAGACAGATCACATGTCTTTAATAAATGTAATGAATAACAAATTATTGAATAAGAGAATACATCGAGGTGCATTACTTTTGCAAGAATATGATTTTGAAATCAGACATAGTAAAGGAAAATACAATATTGTTGCATTAACAAGATCAGATGGCAGAGTGAAGGGAGAAAGAACTTTACAAATTGGGGTAAATATATTATTTGACCGACAGGGAATATTTTCAATGAACAAAATTCTTGAAGATCAAAGTAAATTAAAAGCAAAGGATGTAATTAAATGTAAAAAAGTCAATGGTATTTGGATAAAGATTATAAAGGATCAGGAACTATATGTAATTAGTAATGAATTAGTTTATAATATATTGAAGTATTCACATGGACATAATGGTCATCCTGGAGTGAGAGAAGTATGGATAATGTTTAGGGAAAATTATTTTTGCAGAAAAGATATCCAAATGACCAAAGATTCAACAAATAATTGTAATATTTGCCAAATTTATAACATTCAAAAATTTTGTAAATACAAATATCCCAAGAAATATAATTACCACAAACAAATGAGAAGGAATTGCCATTGATTTTATTAGTGAATTGATAACAACAAATGATAGAAACAAACAAATTCTTGTAATAGTAAAATTGTATCCTTGTAAAGAACGAATGTGCAGATTATAACAAACTGTCTCCAACAATATTTCAATAAAATAGGAAATCCACAAAAATGTATTTTGGATAATAACATACTTTCAAAATGATAGATTTAAAAATTTTGTCATAAAAATAAAATCAAATTAATATTTACCAGTATTAGACATTCAGAGTCAAATCCATCGAAAATATATATTCAAGAAGTGATCAAATTGCTCAGAATATTATCCAGGAAAAATTATCGAAATTGGGACAATAATTTACCGGAGGTAGAGAAATATCTCAACCAGTTACCACATACAGTAACAGAAATCAGTCCATATTTTTTAATGATGGGACAACATCCTCCCAAAAAATGGCTGTAAGAAGGAAACAAAGAATTAGAGAAAATTTCATCAGAAGTAAGAATGAGACAGAATAAAAGTGATAGTAAATATTTGAAAAGGATGAATAAAAAGAAAACACATTGAAATGTAACCTTTGAAAAAGGTCAATTGGTTTTAATAAGGCAAATAGAGTAACAGATATGAACATATATGCAAAGTTACTTCCTATATTTGAAGGTCCATAGGAAATTGTAAGTGAGAAAAATATGAATAGCTATGAATAACTACAAAATAAAATATTTAAATGAAGAAAGAATTAGAGGAATTTTCAACATAAATGATATTTATTTATATAAACAAACATAAAAATAAAAATATGTCATAATCATAATCCTAATCATAATTGGAAGTATTAGCTATATTTTTTGTTTATAGATAAAAAAATATATTCAATACTTGAGGTATCTGTTATGAAAAGACTCGAATACAACACTGCATGGGGATTTTCAAAACATCACGAAACAAATACAAAAGAGTGGTAAATTTAAATATCAAAATTTGTGCATAAAAATTCAATGAATTTGAAAAGAAGACAACCGATGTAGGTTAGAAAGAAATGTCAGATGGAATTAAATTAATATCTGTGAGGAAAAATCGAAAAAGGCATAATAAACTAATTGTTATTAATTAGGAATGACGTAGAATTCAAAAATTATTGTTGTGAACCATTTCCTTAGAAACGGACATCAAGTGATGCTTATGAAAAATATTTGTATTTACACATAAGTGAGGTTAACTTTTTTGTACAAAATTGTGAAATGAAAATGTATCTAAATTTGAGAAGCAATGTTACATTTGTGAAATAGATAATTTTCCTGATAAAGGAGTTGAAAGTTTGTACATATGAAAATTGATAGGTGGTAACTAGGAAAAGAAATAGATTTTCAACTATTTTGTCAATGAACAGGATTCTTTTTGAGGCGACGAAGAGAAACGCCACGCCAAATTGTTCTCTCCACAAATTTGAAAAATATTGTATGCAAACATAAGAATTGAATATAATTATATTATATACTGATTATCAAAAGTAAACTCAGTGAAAAGCCTATCTGTCCTGCCACTCCTAGTGAAATATCCACAAGTTTCAGCTTCGTAGAAAAATCACATCACACACACCAGCGTTGAAGGAAAATAAGGTATTTACCTATTCCATATCACAACAATATATGCATTATATTAACCAAGAACTGAATAGGACAATCAAAATTAAATTCTGAATCAAAAACTCGAGTCTGCAAGAATTAAAGTGACCTTCAATAATAAACTGAAATTTGCCAGAGTGCGTTCGGATACTCACTTTGAATATTCCGTTGTAGATTTAGGACATTTTAGCTCTGTGTTACGAATTCGACTGATGAAACTATAGACGATAATACAGTGGATGGAGTTATCAGGTGCTTCTTACCAACCTTTCGATTTCAGTTCTAAACTCCTGCAAACTTTCGGATGGACCTTGAGTTCTGACCTTCAGTTGAGATTTGTAGACTTGTTTGAGGTGCTCAATACTTTCAAATATGATACAACTGCTTCATAAGACTTCAGCTTAATGACTGTACAAGTTTGTACAGAATAAACACACGTCTGCATACTATGAAGATTCGTCAAAAAATGAGCTGTCCTCTCTGAAAGACCATCAAGGTACATGGAACCTTTCGAGGAAGAAAGAGCGTACGAGTGATTCTAGTGGGACGCTTCCTCTTGAACAGATAGTGCACAGGTCTGCACTACATGAAGCTCTAACGACCACTGCCTGCTTCTATCGCCTTCTGTAAGCGTATCGAGATGAGAGTCGTGGGGTTGTTTGTGACCTCCTTATGAATCATTCCGAAATCGTATTCAGAAAGCTAGCGACCGTTCCTTAAATCAGTTTACATCGAGCATGTTGATGAAGTCATGTGACTGTGGTAAATATTTCGCTCGTAGTGATGATCTTCGTCGGCATCAACTCCAGAGTTGTCAAAGAGGTTCATCAGTGGAACGAGTGGAAGTTGATGATGCTGCTGGTGCTGCTGTCCACATGTAATTGTTGTGATGTGACGATTTCCATGGGGCAAATCAATTCTCACAAGAGGAGTCTGCAGCATAAGAATAACTCATGTATTGAATTGAGTAATGCTGTTCCAATTACTGAAATGAATCACAAAGTGAATATGGATGTATTTGAAAGTTACAATCTTTGAACCCAAGATTTGATGAATATCAAGTCATTCAAATCCCAAAATAAAACAACAGATTTATCATCTGATTTGAACTCCATATCCGATGGATTTTGTTATGGTATCATCGTTCAAATTCAAGAATTTCAGGAACGTGATTCAGGTATACTTTTCTTCCGATATTCAATTTGATGCATTAGTATTATCTGGGAATAATGAACGTTTTCTTGGTTTGTTGATAGCACTGATGATGTTCTCACAGCAGTATTTGATGACGAATTATTCAGTGGTTTAGATATGATCTCATGAAGTATTTCAGGTGGTGCCATTCGATTTCCAATGTAACCATTTTTGAAAGAGTTGAATTTTTCCATTTTTCAATACACCGTCAGGACTTTCGTCGTCTAGATTGGATGGGGAGTGAAGATCTGAGAAACTGATGAGAGATGATGTGGTGTTTCAAATGAATTTGTTGCTATATTACTTTTTATTGTGTCTATACCAATGTCCCAAACTCATAATACAACACCAAAAATTTATTTTTTCTATTGGAGTTCTCATGGGATGAATCGGAATAGACGAAACTTTTCTTTGGTTTATTGATACCACTGATGTTTTTGTAGCAGCATTTGATGACAAAACGTTCAATGGTTTAGCTATAGGCTTACAAAGTATTTCAAGTGCCATTCGATTTTCAATATAACCATTCTTAATCGAATACAATTTTTTCATCAATGGGACCAGGGATAACAACTATAATGAAAACCATGATTTCATGTGGACAATCACATGATAACATCTCATTGACAACTGGATGGAGACTTTCAGAATTGAAACAAGATATCTTGAATACAACCAGCTACGTATTCAGTGGTAAATTACCGCTATAGTATTTAATGTGTGTTGCCGAATATAACAACAAAAATATCTTGAATGCTGAATTTCAATAATCGCTCGCTTCGATCATTTAAAAACTCATATATAGGTGGGGTAGATGCTGATTTGAAAATTAATAAAGTCGGATAGAAAATAGGAGATATACTTCCTGATGATAGACACAATCCAGTTGGCTTATCGTAAGTGGAACCTCATGAACTTCCATCATCACGTGAAACATCACATGTTTCCTACGCTTTGGTAACAATTCTTTTTGGCATTATTGGATTTCAAAATACAATTACATCTGAAGACATAACAAAGGACACCACAAAATTCATAACTGTCGATATCAATAATATTCGAATATATTTGAATTCTGATAAAACCAAATACTATGAAATCATCAACTATCGATATGGAAGTCGAGTTTGGAACCAGAAAGAACAAGTTAACAGATAACATCAAAGCATATGCGGTCATTTCCCATTATACTTTTCTGACAATGCACTGGATAGCTTAGTTCACAGCAGATATTGACATCATCGATACTGTTATATCTTTGCTCGTGCTATTGCTGCACTGCATTATTACATATATGATTTGTTTTCAACTTCATATTCGTGATGTTTTGTTTTGTATTTTCATTTATGCTTAATGGATATTGGATAAATGAATCATGAAAGAATATTTTATTCGTGGAAAATGAGCAATGAAACTTCTTTTCCCACCACTTGTATCTGTAACAAACGTTACTGCATTTTCGTCCTATGAAAATATTTTCGAACGAATACAATAAACTGAAAATAATTGATAGTAGCCCTCATATATCTGAACACGACTGCAGGTAATAACAGAGGTACTCAACTTACCTGCATTTTGTTTACTTGTGACAATGTGAGTACGGTTATTTGAAAACCGGTGACTGAACTAGATCGATTTGACCTTTTAGCGGGGTATATCCGCAATGCTTATGCTTATGAATTTTCGAAGAATTCAAATTATTGATTTTCCAAGCCTTGCTTGCATAGTGCAAAATTTTCATATCGTTTAGATTCGAGAACTTGTGGTTGCATTTTGAGGAATGGTTTGAAAACGTCAAGTCATTTTCACCTAGTCTGAAGGACCTCTAAAGTTCAGCATACCGTTTTGAGAAATTTTGACCACATTGTACCATATGAACACAATTAAAACCCGGACACTTGTGCTTATAAACTTCAAATTTCACCATCTCTTCTACTTTATCTCTGGCATTAAAAAAATGAGATAACCTGGTATGTGGTCTGAAGCCACTTACACACCGTTTTTTTGGAAAAAATATGAACAAGATTGTTTTTCCGGAAAAAACCAATGTTGAAGTGGCATCCAGACCACATGCCAGTTTATCTAATTTCCATTTTGACGCCAAAGATAAAATGGACCAGATGGAGATATCTGGAGTGTTTAAGTTTTTTCTAGCACAGTAGAATGGTAAAAGATCCAATAGTCCCACGGTCTCCACTCTTTGGTAAGAAATTACAGAGCACATGATTGAATCGTAGAGAAACATTTTTGGATGCGCCGAGTTGCCCCGATAATCGGCAATATTTTCATGTCTGAAATTTTTCATTGAATCAACCGTTTTCGTCCTATCAGACTGATGACACTTCTAATTTTTGATTTATTTCATATTGTATTAGTATTACGACAGAAATAAAAAGAAAGTTTCGATAAATGAACATTTAAAAAAAACAACAAAGTTGTTACCAATTGAATGGAGTTTGTTAAGTGATAGCAAATAACGATTCACAGTTCACAGATTCATATTTACCAACAAATGTTTTTGAAATCATTTTCGTGATATTATTATAATTTCTGTATACTTTGGAAAAAACACAGTTGCCTCGATTTTAAATAAATTTTGCCAATGAAATCTTTTCGAATCAGTTCATACTAATGTGTCTCAATCAAATATTGAGTATATGTGAATATTTATAAGTGAAAAGTGTCAATAAAATATTGATTATGAAAACCAAATATCATTCGTTGAATAGCTCAAATGATTTCTTTGATTCATAATAAGAGGAAATGAGAGAGAAATAAATTTCTCTGCGGACAAATATATACCCTAGTACAAACACCAGAATAGGACTGAAATGGCAATATCGGGTGAATTATTTGAAAGGTCACCCATTCGGAACGCCTTCAATAACTAGGAGGAATTCACCACTCCACATAGTTCAATTATCAGATCGTCAAATACTGGCAAGGCGAGGGAAAAATCGACACTTCATTTGAATATTCACACATTGGTGACAAATGGCCCAATAACTTCTAAACACTAAAAAAAGTATCATATTTCATTGAGAAAAATATGAAAACTATGAATTATTTGTGATGAACTGTTGGATGTTTGAATTGAAAGGGGTATTTTTCAGGAGACATCAGTTTTTGGAAATAATCCTTTTTGTTTTTCTACTTCTCCATTTTCATACAAAAAACAAAAAGGAGTGATTTCCATAGTATCCAACGTTTATATAGAAAAAGTTGTTTGGAAGGGACTTCTTTTTCTTTTGTGATGTAAGTTTTGTTATGATTATTTTTATTTACTCTGTAATGTTATCCAAATCGGTGCTAATGAAGTGATAAGACATGTGTATTGTTTCAAAACTTCGAGGTACACCATTAAGAATTATGGTATTTTATGTATGTGGAATATAATATTGTTGCCCTCCCATATATTTGATTGTCTAAAGTTTATATGAATGATATCTCTTTCTATTCAGTAAGGAATGTTTGCAGTACAAACTGAATAAGAGTTTCGAAAAAATTATTGTTCATATGGAAGTAGTTTTGTCGAAAGTACTTTTCCCTTCATGTAATTAAATTTGCATGTAGAAGTTGTTGTTTCGAAAAGTTTTTCTTATACAGCGACTTCTATGCATCATCACATATTTGAAAAATTAATTTATTTTGAACTCAATATTTTCACACCTTCCTTCGAAAGTAATCCACATCATTCGTATAATGGTGAAGGAACAGAAAACCAAAAACTTTCTCCCCTGAAAGATTTGTGTTATAAAACGAAGAGAGAATATTTATAGGAGACAGTTTTTTTGAGAAAAGCCCGTTTATTATAATGAAACTTTTGTATTTTTTTTATTAATATTAGTAAAGGAGGTAGGACAGTTCCAAATCAAAACCCCATGTAATTCTGGCAATTTTGGATCCTACGACCAATCAGAGCGCTCCAAATTGTCACGTGACCCAGACGCATCGTCGCGAGTACACCACCCTGGCGCCACCTATAAGTCACTAGCTGAACTATCTATTGGTTGAAGAAGGACACTGTAAACACTAATCACTATGAGTCACTAGCTGAACTATCTATTGGTTGAAGAAGGACACTGTAAACACTAGATATATGGGTGTTGTCATGCGACGCAGTGTGCGCAGTTGCTGGTTTTATGATGTCTGTCAATACGGATCGGTGTCTGTGTAACTGTCAAATGTCAATGAGGGTGTGGGACGGTGTCTGTGAGGGTGAAACGTCGGGGTGTTGCTAACTTCAGGGCTAACAAATTGACGTTCACCGGCTACGGAATTGAGGATCGTGCACGTCACCTATGAATCACTAGCTGAACTATCTACTGGAAGGCGTAGGACGGTGCATCTGTCAAATGTCGGCGTAGGACGGTACTTCTGACAGAAGGGGCTCCGTGGGACTTTCCTACAGAATTGCTTGTATTATGATGTCTTCTGACAGAGGGGTCTCCTTGAGACTCCGCATCACCCCTCGGCCCCCTCAGTACTCCACATCACCGCTCAAGCCCTCTTGAGACTTCGCCCTCGGCCCCCTTGGGATTCCGCATCAGCGCTCAGACCTCCTTGTCACGTGATTTCAATTAAAAAAAGTTCATAGTTATGAGATTCGAACCCACGACGTCCGCATGGTAGACATTATCCTTTACCTCTACACCATCGTAAGATATTGAAGGTAACTGCGAATGTTGGTTGGTTTTTGGAAAATCAATCATTTGGATTTTATTTATTGACATGACTCACCGATATTTTGTTAACAAATGAAATTTTTAGTGTGATAAGTAGGTTCTGGAAGCTGCAGAGAATTGAATCTCGTTCTGTGGAAACTGTTGAGATGGTTCTAGAAGCTGCTGTGATTTGAAACTCGTTCTGGAAAGGTTGCTAAGTTGGATTTGGATATAGTTGTTGAGATGACTGAACTGATACTGCACACGTTGATGTAGTGTTCTGAAATAAATGCAATCTTCAATACAAACATACTCCAGAGAAAAATAAAATTCAAGAGTGGGGGTAATGTGTTTCATGGAGTGATTGTGAAAAATGAGGGAGCTACAGTTATAATTAAAAAAATCCACTGTCATTCAAAACAACAAATTTAAAACACATATTCTGCAAGTACTAAACACATAAAAAATATTGAAAACACTTCTTTATGCGGATCATATCTATGAATGAAAAAATGTTTGAGTCGAACAAAAAATATAGTATACAACCACAAACTCTATACATATATTGAACAGAGAAAAAAAGCAGTACTAACCTCAATTTCGTACAAATTCCAATGAAACAACACGACAGCGTATTTTCTAACTGCTTCTCACGATGTTGGCTGTCAATATCCTCTGCGGCGTCTCTACAGGTGAATCTGCTATTTTGTTATTTGGTTTCCCCTCCACGACTGAACTTGAAATTTAGAAAATCCACCTGTGAGAAACCAAAAATAAAACAATGTTTCTAATTATACCAACACTCTCTCAATAAATGACAACTTGAATGAAAGTTATTCGGAACTTACTATGCGTTTTATTCAACTAGAAAGCTGCTCACAAAATGAGTTTCTGTTTACTACATAATAAATGTGTATATAGACAAGATATGGCATTGTCAAAGGCAAATAGATAAAATACGAGAAAAACTCTTATTCAGCTTGGATCATTCTCGATTAAAATTAATAATCACGTTTCCCGGTTATGAGGCTGCCATCTAACATCAAAACAAATTGTACGATACAATAATTACTGTAAGAGATAGTATTCGAGAAAAATGGATGTCACCAATACCGGTTCTTATCTTTTTCATTATTAAAGATGGAAAAATATCAGCAATTGTTATTTCTTATCTTCTGATGTATGTAGGATAAAAATAGTAGTCCAGGGTTGGCTTGAGGAATACGTAAATACCTGTGAACCGTTTTGTATTACAAAATAATTGAAAAAAACGTTAATCCTCAAAAAGTATGTATGGAAAAACACCTAAGTATATTAATCTGAGGAAAATTTTGGAAAATTGATGATAATTCAACAACAACTCTCACAACCTTTGAATTGAATTAAATTTGAATAAATTCTTTTGTGAAAAAGTCAAAAACGTATAAAACATCTTGCAATAAAAATTCATAAAGTGAACATGAAAAACACTTACTTTCAGATAAAATCGTTGCACTTGTCACTAGTATGACTGATACAACTAACTCATCATTTCGCCTCGTAGGAGGTATTTATAGGAAAATAAGTGATGACAAATTATGAAACCGAAGAGCCTTTGTTCCGTCGCTTTGAGAACTGCATATCTCTGGGTGATGATTCGGCATTGACAGTGATCAATGTCACCTTGGGTAAGAATAGGAAAATAGGTGATGACATATTATGCAATCAAACAAAGAGCCTTTGTATCGTCACTTTGAGCCACGTGTCTGGCTTTATCGATAAGTGATAGCGATAATTCTGCATACCTATATTATACATATATTTTTACCAAGAAACAGTTTCAAATTAAATCTTCTGCAATGTTTACGATTCGATAAAGTCAACAGTAATGAAATTTTACTGAATGATCCCATACCTCATTTTCTAATGTGAAAATTGACCATCACTTTATTTATCACATTCCAATCAATGAGTTTGTCAAAAAAAAAAACAAAGTTCACGATGTTTTGAAATGGCTAATCAGTTTTTACCAAAACTCATTCATCAGTCTCTGAATAGGTCGAAGGTCATATGATTGAAATTGTTATTATGTGAAGCATAAATTGTAACTAGTTTATTTCATGACCTTTTGATGAGTTAGGGATTTTTTCTCATAATATTTAATTGGTTATCTCCTAAGCTCATGTGAAATAGCATTACAAGTCATTACATTAGTAGAAGGTCATATAACCCAAATTGTTATTATATTTTAGATAGAAAGATGAAGAAACACGTGTCCAGGGAAAAACTGAAGTGTTACTTGAATTTCCGGGCAATTTCATCACATAATTTTCATGATGTTACTCATTCCTTGACTTCTTTCAAGAGAGGCCAGTCTCTTGTCGACAGAGGATTTGAGGGAACAATATTGTCCCGTTCGGAACAAGACAAGAAGATACAAGACATAATAATCTCTAGTCTTGAGAGCAACATTAATAACAGCCTCATAGTGAAATAGGAACCTACCGTCTACCTATTATGACACAATGACTAAACTAGCCGAGATACAGCAGACATGTAAGGCCCACCTAACTGAACCAAATGGAAATGAAACAGAAGTAAGTCAAAAACACATATTTTCTAAATAAATTCTCATGAGAGACTATTTTGGGCCTTATCAAGACGTCATCTCCGAGATTGACAGAGAACTCAATTATTCGATGTTCAAGATAAACGAGTTTCCCCAAGGTTGACAGTTGCAAAGCCAAGCTTCGACATCGAATGCCGACGAAATTCGTTTCACTGCAGTTCTCACTGCAAGGCTACTAATTGAAAATCAACATCAGACAACGCCGTTTAGACCTACTATAGGTCTCATCAGTGGTGCTAGACTGAACCACAAATGCTTTGCAGGATTGCACTTTTCTTGATGGATAAGCCTGAGTAAGCAAGAGCGATAACATCTTCACTAACGAAGGTGATACATATGGGATTGTTAAGAGAACTGAAACCATGAATACCAAAGATAACCGAGGCTCTTCAAGGCGGTCATTTGCAATGCCGACATCGACCGCCGACGACATTCGTCCTCTGTTTTTGACTGCAGTCCTCACTGCAAAATAACTATTTGAGAAACAGATAGGACGGTTTCGACCCGTGAAAGGTCTTATCACTTGTTCCAGGCTGAACTCCAAATGCCTTTTACAGGGCTTTGGAATAATGTTATTCTGAATACTCGTAACTGATGACTTTCATTTTCAAATTTTCCATTCACTGAACGTCGTTTTATCAGCTAGAGAAATATCATGTCATATGTGATATATTCATGATGTTGAGTGTTTTATCACTTATGTAAATTATTATATGAAAATCACAATTGTCTGGAATGTTCTGAGTGATGATGAGTAACACATAATTTATTCACTAATGAGTATTAGATTTGTTTTTCACATTCCTGATGTAACTTTTTCAAAATAAACCTAAATAACGTCATATTCAATTATTCATGATTCTCGTCTTTAAATTCTGTTAGACAGTTTGTTCCAATACAGACATGAAATATTATGTTTTTAACGCATTCAAT